GGGCCGAGCGTGGGGTGCGGGAGGGGGTCTCTCCGCGGCGCGCCCTCGGCCGGGGAGCCCGCGTGCGGGGCGGGCGGCTCCCGGAGTGCGCCGTCCTGCGGTCCCGACCTGTTCCCGGGTTTGATCTTCCTCTCTGCTTTCCAGCGATGATCGTGCGCTTCCTGACCAAACGCTTCATCGGCGACTATGAGCCGAACACAGGTCAGGATACCCTGGGGCCCGCTGTTTTCCTGCCCGCGCGTTTCTGTTTGCTGCTCCGAGTGCGAATTTAAAAGTAAACTTTCCCCTCACTCTCCAGGCAAGCTGTACTCCCGGCTCGTCTTCGTCGAGGGAGACCAGCTGTCCCTGCAGATCCAGGACACGCCTGGTAGCGTCCAGGTAAGGACTGCCGGGAGGACCCGCTCACCCCTGCCGGGCCACCCGAGGACGGCCGGCGTGCAGGGCGGCCCGAGCGGGACGACCAGACGCCCGCGGTGTGCATTTCGGTGCAGGAACGCGCCGTCCGCAGTGGGTCTGGGGGCTGGGGTGTTGTAAACGCTCCTCAGGAAGGCGTTGATTAGAGGCGGCTTTGAGAGCACAGGAGCTTACAGACCCCGAGTCGGGTAGGGAATTCCCTCGCCCCTCAGGAATGCGACCGGAGGGAGACCTTATCAGACCCATATATGGGTCAGTGACTGATGCTTAACATCACTTTGCAGTCCTGACAGCCATCAGGTCTCACCACTTTCACAGCTCAACCACCCAGCAAGCACACACTGGGCTGGGAGTGCAGCCTGGTGGTAAAGGGTGTGGTTAGCAAGTGACCCCCCCCCCCCCAGCGCCATATAAAAATTAACTAATAAACAAGCAAGAAAGGGTGGGATTCTGGTGGGAGAGGGTCCTCTTCCTAGCCAGGACTGCCCAAGCGCTCCTGTTCTTGGCTGTTATGTGATTGCAATCACACATAACCCCTCGGTCAGCGGGCTGGTCTGGAATGTAACTTAACCAGCAAGTTACTAATGCTAATCCCTTCTAAGGAGGCAAGGTCTGGGGGAAGAAGCCAAAGAAAAGAATTTGTTTCTGTAGCATTCTCACGAAGTTGCCTGCTAAAAATATTTTTATGGGTTTGGGAATAGATATTTATCTTGGCTTATTTTCAAAGTTTTGTTTATTATGAATTGGTTCTCTAAAAATCGGGCCATTCTGGTTTAAAGTTGTTCTTCAATCAGCCAGGGTTCACCAGAGACTACCTGTCAAGCGGGAGGGTTAAAAATAATACATCAGTAGCAGCTAATAAAACAAGGCAGGCCGGGAGTTTGAAAATCTGCACTTTCTGTATCAAAAGCCTCCTTCTTCAGAAGCTGGGTAGAACCTGAAAACTGTATTTAGTGCTTGCTTTTCCCAGCGTTTCTTCAGTGGTTACTTTGATGATATATTTAAACTCATCTTGCCCTGAGGGCTTCCTTGACTGGGTCTCATTTTGATCTTTCTCAGGCCCAAGACAACCTCTGCCAGGCAGTGGATTCCCTGTCCAAGTGTGTGCAGTGGGCAGATGGCTTTCTGCTGGTCTATTCCATCACGGACTACAGCAGCTACCAGTCCATCCGGCCCCTCTACCAGCACATCCGGAAGGTCCACCCTGACTTAAAGGTCCCTGTCATCATTGTGGCAAACAAGGGGGACCTCCTGCATGCCCGGCAGGTGCAAACCCACGACGGTGTTCAGCTAGCCAATGAGCTGGGCAGCCTCTTTCTTGAAATATCCACGAGTGAGAACTATGAAGACGTCTGTGATGTATTCCAGCACCTCTGCAAGGAAGTAAGCAAGCTGCACAGCCTCAGCGGGGAGCGGAGAAGGGCCTCCCTCATCCCCCGGCCTCGCTCTCCCAACATGCAGGACTTGAAGAGGCGCTTCAAGCAGGCTCTGTCCTCCAAAGTGAAAGCCCCCTCTGCCCTGGGGTGAACCATCTCAGGCAGACTGTGTCCTTTTGATGATGCAGCTGTGCAGCTAAAAACACTGGGTCTCTCCCTTTTTAATCACTTGTCCAGAGTTTATTTTTATAAAGACTTTACTGGTTTTCAAGTGTATGTGTATTCCTGAAAATTCAAACAGTGATTGTCTACAAGTTGGGTAGAGTTGTTTTTGTTGTTGTTGTTGTTGTTTTTAATAAAAGAACTTTTTTTTTTTTAACTGTAACTTCTGGCCACTTTTCCATTAAAGGCAAAATGGCAACATTGCTTCTTGTTTTCTAAATGTCTTTTTATAGAAATCCTACTTGCACCAGAGCCCAGAACTGCTCCATGCTTGTCTTCGTCTGAACTCTGATTGGTGTCATGTAGTAGGGAGGGGGTACTGCAGAGGGAGTCTGCCGGGGAGAAGGGAAAGTATGCAGGGGAGGAGCCGGGTGTGCGTAACTGCAGGATGTCTCTAATTAGGGCATTTTGCCACAGTCCTGAAACTGTGTGTTTTTCCAGTGAAGGGATACTTTATGAGCTGATGTAAAAAAGTCACAAATCATGAAGAATATTTTTATTTTTTGGTGCAAATATAAGTGTAGCCTTTGTTATCATAAGAAAAAAAAAAAAAACCTTTCCAGGATTCACTTATATCAATAAGTGGGCTTTGCCATCTAGGAGTTACCTCAAAATTCTGCTTCCTTTCCTATCTCCCTGACCCTCTGTTGCATGTGGTGGAAATAAAGAAATGATTAAAGTATGATTTCACAATCACACAGTTTATTGCCACCCAAAGAATATTTTTTTAGGTTCACAGCCCTTAAAGAGGAAGAAAGTAACATGAAGAAATCAATTATTCCATAGATGAGGTATGAGCTGGGCGTGGTGGTGCACGCCTGTAATCGCAGCACTCCAGAGGATGAGGCAGGAAGATCACCATGAGTTCGAGACCAGCCTGGGCTACATAGTGAGTTCAAGGCCAGCCTAAATTGCATAGTGAAACCCTCTCTCTCAAAAAAGGACAAAAAACAGAAACAAAAACCCAAAATAACAACGGATAGTGAATTACATTAGCCACACAGTAAATGAGTTCCAAAATTGTTAAAGTCCTGTTTGGTTACGATATTAGGTTGTTAGAAGTATAATTCTGTTAGGCTGGAAGCAATCCTCTGTGGAAAGGACAGTCTAGTAAATGTAGAGGTGTATCCTCTTTTGGGGGTGGGATGCTGGGTACTGAACCCAGAGCTCAGTGCTCTACCACTGAGCTGCACTTCCAGCCTCTGAGGTTTACCTCGTATGATTTTTGGGAGAAGCTGGCTTGAGCACTACCATGGAGATGGAGACATGGGAGGTCCTTCAGTGCCATTGCAAGGCGCGCACATTGGCAGGCAAGGCTTTGGAGACCAGCTCCTTGGCTAACAGGCTGTCACCTTGTTGGAGCCTGAGATCTAGATCTTCAGAGAAGCAGCAGGCAGGATGTAGCCTAGCTATGGCCTAAACTCATCAAGTGCCAATCAATGATCTACAATATGCCAATGATATAGAAGTGTGTGTGTGTGTGTGTGTGTGTGTGTGTGTGTGTGTTGAAGTCCAGTAGTTGAGGGCAATAGCTAGGTTTGGAACCCATATATGGGGTCTGAGGAGTTCTGATGTAACATCCCTGAGGGGAGAGAGAGTTCCCCACAAGATGCAGGGTCTAGTAAAATTTTGCACTCTCAAAAGGATGGGGAGTTAGAGAATGTGTTTGGAACATTTCAAGCTACATACCACACTCACATCTCATACGGCCCCAGATCTGTCAGTGCTTTCTCTGCTATTTTTCTCTAAAGCCTCCTGCCTTCATCTAGCTCTGTATGCTTTTGTCTAGACCAGCAGGCAGGAGTCTAAGCAAAACTCTGGTTTTTTGGCCTCTGGAATGACACCCCTCTGGTCCTTTCTTTATACCAGAACATTACTAATCAACTGTAACAATTTTCCTTCCATGGCTGAAAGAAACTCAACTGGTTTCCTTTTATATACTGGGTAAAATACAAATAGTACACGGCTTTAAGATTATGTATTACTTCTCCAGTTTCATCATCCCTTCCCTGCTAAGTGTGTGGACACATGTGTCCACACACAGACACACACACAGCCAAAGAACTGTAGCACCTCCCAAAGAACTGTCTAATTCTACAGAATTAGAACTAGCAGCACCTCCCAAAGAACTGTCTGCCTTTCCTGGTGTACTCTGAGCTCTTCCATGTCTCTCTGCCTTGACACAAACTACCCTTCCATTTCAAATATATTTTCTTGTTCTATACCTAAGGGCTCAATAACTCATAGCTATTCCAAGGCTCAAGTCACATCTCGACACCTCCCTCCCATCAGAAAAGAGAATTCAGGGAATGGTAGCACCTGCCTAGTCCCAGCACTTGAGAGGCTGAAGCAGGAGGACTGCCACAAGTTCAAGACCAGTCTGGGCTACATAGCCAGACCCTGTCTCTCACTCCCCCACCTAAGTCCCATGCTAGATGCAGCTGCAAGATGCCCTCTCTGAGTGTCCCTCTATCCCTGTAGCTCTTGTGCTAGAACTCCACTGTGTTAAGTAGCTGCTCCTGGTTTCAGAGGTTTTCATCATAGTCACAGCACCATGGCCTTGGGGGCTGGGAGGCAGTACACAATGGAAACAGTGCATGGCAGAGAAGACTGCTTTCTCCTGACTGCTGGAAAAGAGAGCTCTGCAGGTGACAGCCAAGCCTTCAACACCTGGGTCTTTGGGAGACATTCCTGAGTCAAGCTAGAACACTACCTGTACCAAATAGCATGAAAGACTAAGAAAATTAGATAACTGGTGTCTAAACCGTCCAAATAATTAACAAAAATATTATTTTAGGTTCTGTCATCTAGCTCCCCTTACTAGTTTGCATGTTATCAGACAAAAGGAACTCTTTCTATCATTGTGGATTCCAGGTTTCCTACCATGCGTCTTAATGTTGCCAGTGTAGACAAAAGAGCAACTGATTCTCCTGATCTTGCCGTGCCTACAGTGTGCCTACAACTGATTCTCCTGATCTTGCTGGTGCCAAGGGCTCCTCTGCTGTCAAAGATCTGAGATCTGAGACTGAAACTTTGAAACCAGGAGCAAGTACTTAACACAGTGGGGTTATAGCACAAACGCTCCAGGGATAGAGGGGCACTCAGAGAGGGCAGCTTGCAGCTGCATCTAGCATGGGACTTCGGTGGGGGAGTGGGAAAATTTAAAATATAATGTAAAGACTAAACAACTCAAGAGGTGTCCTAGGCAGCCTATGATCAAGTTTCAAGGGAGTAAATAATATGAAAAGAAAGTTCCTCGGGCCTTCTAGGGGAGAGCAGGCCGTGGCCCAGAGGGGTCAAAAGATGAGTCCCCAGACAGTTTCAAAGGGAGTCAGAGCTTCAATAAGCTCAGGCAGCTACAAACTATGTTTTTCTTGTGCTCAGCATCACAAATAATGGATCCCTGGAAACTCATGGTTCCCTTTCAAGATCACTGTGCAGAACTGGCCTGGCAGAGAGGCCAGTTCAGTGGTCTTTGAGAGAGTTCCATGCCTGTTGTCTCTCTTTCCCAGCCTCCTGCTGACTGGAGTCTCTTGGGACTCATGGTATCTAGGGGACATCGGAACCAATCCTGGGATAGTCGCCTTGGAGATGGAAAAGGTAAACGGAGTTATCAGGCGGCAGTTAAGGTGGAAAGTTGTTGAATTTGCTTGTGGGTATGAGAATCTGAAGGTGTAAGTTTAACCAGGGACTCCAGAGGCCTTTTGAGTTGAAGCTGAGCCCTAAGCCAACTTCAGAAATGGAGAGGAAAACATCACTACAGATGTGGGTATCATTGTTTTGCTCATATTGCAGAACTTGTGAAACACTGGGTAGAACATTACAACTTGGATGGATGTAGAGAGGACAGTGTCCATACATTTTTACCCATAGCTTGCCTTTCCTCTGAGACACTATCTCCAGGGTGAGCATTACCTGTTCATGAGGGTGGTGGGGGTCACCTTGATCCTGGTTATGGTTTGGACCAGGACTATCCCCAAAGGCCTATGTGTTAACGTTTTAGCCCTCAGCTCTGCGCTCCTGTGGAACCTTTAGGAGGCAGGGCCTAGTGGGAGGTCTCCAGGTCACTGGAGGCATGCTCTCAAAGGGACTTTGAGACCCTGATCTCTTTCTGTTTCTCTTCTGCTTCCCAGCCACAAGGTGAGTAACTTTCTCCACTATATGCTTCCACCATGATGACTGCTTCACCAGTCTTCACCAAGACGCAAAAGCAACTGGCCATGGACTGAAACATCAAAAACTGTGAACTAGCATATAACTTTCCACCTTGTACAAGTTGATTATCTCAGGTATCTGTCATAATAACAGAAAGCTGACTAATACAGTGCCTGTTTGTTCTCTCTTTGTACACTCCCTGCCTCAACTGTAAGATTTTTCTTTTTTTTTTTTGTAGTGCATGGGATTGAACCTAGACCCTTGCATATGCTAGGCAAGTGCTCTACCACTGAACAACACTTGGAAGCTCCAAGATTTGTCTTTGAGAAATCCCTACCCACCACTCATCCTCCTCTGGTTAAAGCTCAGCTGTTGATTCTGTCCTAAACTTTTGTAGAATGAGTTAATTAATGTGGTAAACAGTGCAGTCCTGGAGAAATGGATGAAATCCAAATGGCTAAATGGTACATGCTGCAAACATTCTGTACTTCACATGCAACTCATGGAAAGCAAACCGGGATAATGGAAAAATGAATCAATTATAACAGAGGAAAATAAATTTGTTTTGCTTGTGTTGAAGTGAAAGACAAAATGGAAGTTCTAAAGTTTATTAATATCTGTTTAGAGAAATGAATTCAATAAACATCTGTGGAAGGCTGGGCTAAACAATGGAGCAAATGGAAAAGACAAGATGACTATTTAGCTATTAACATTGGGCTCAGAGAGCTCTTTTGCTACATATATATGTTGCAATTTTAAATTCCTATTATGCAAAGCTATCAATTCAAATTTACAATCAAATATATTTTGCCTGATGAATAAGCTATTCTTACCACTTTATCTTTTTCCAAAAGGTGGAATATTTTGGAAGACTGTTAAAATTAGTCTTAAGCTATTTTGAAAGATGTGATAAAATGCAAATAAGATTATTTTCTAAACAGGAAGTTAGCTAGAGCTCTAGGAGAAATTAATTTATGTAAGTGATGCTTTGGTTGTAATAGGAGACTGGTTCTCAGCAGAGGAAAGTGGAAATTCAGCTATCCTAGATA